ACTGCTTCATTTTGATAACTTTGTCGCTTCTCTCCCAAAGGCATCGCTACTTGTCTCTAGTCTGAAGTCAACTAAAGGTGAAATCAAACAGGCAAAGCTGCGTTGCAAGATGACAAAGTCATTTGTCTTTCCCTACCTGAAATTTATAAGCAACTTCCGACCATATCAGGAGAAAATACATCGGGTTGATGATCTTTAACCAACCAATCATGGGCAAAATTACCGACATGGTAAACCACTGCTTGGTTATAAATGGGATATTCTTATACCAATCACCAATATCGCTTTCTCCAGCCATACTTGTCAATTTAAAATTAGAAATCCACTGCAACGAAGAAGAAAGAGTTAATGATGGAATGGACGCAGTCAAGCCAATGGATTTGCCAAGTCTAAGATCAAACTAGGATGGAAAGTTCCACGTCGCTCTTTATACTGCAGTCCTGCTTTTCCCCATCCGTTCTGTCTGGCAGTCTGTAGCTTTCCTTTGACCACCAAGTCAATCCCCTAGTCCAGAGTCCTGTCGGCGTTTCCACTTGTGAGTGGAAACGGTGAGTTGGAGTATCACCAGTCTTTATTAGTGCCATACTGTACACTAGCATCCTCTACTCAGATCCTATCGGATAGAATACTTTCCTTCTTAATCATGCTGTGAGTGAAAATTTGGTGTTGGATAGGAATTTTGCTCTTTTCAAATGGTCGCTGACTTGCCGTACAGGCATTTGACTTGAGCGTTCTTTGCTATGCGATATGCAACTGTAATTACGTTATTATAATTCTAATGATACGCACTATGTTTTGCGTACCTCTACTATACAGCTCGGTACTGTACCAGGACCGAGATTATTGCCTCGATGCTACTATAGGGATCGAGAAATTAGAACGTTTTTCTATGGATGGCATCGTTAATAGCCAAGACAACACCGATTCATTCTACTTATACAAAATCTACCTCTTCACGCTCAGGTATGCGTTGGTGGTGTAGTGGTTAGCATAGTTGCCTTCCAAGCAGTTGACCCGGGTTCGATTCCCGGCTAACGCACGCTATCTTTTTGGCAATTTTGGAGAGGAGCATTTCTTTTAGGCTTGCCATTTTCACTAACAAGTAACAACCATAGCGAATGCTTTCTTCATCATTTTCGTCATTTTAGTGTTTTTACCTGCTACATTTGAAGTCATTAAGAGATCAATAGGCATTGCACTGTGTCGTATCTGTATAGCATGGACTAGAAGCCGAGGGCTCACCTTTGAATGCAGTGCTGGGGAAAATGACGTCATGATTGACGTTGGTAACTCAGGAGTTGCAAGTTGACGTTGACAATGATTATTAATTCCTTAATGATAGAATTAAAACTGTATAGCGCATCGAAATGAATTCTTCAATCATACAGTACATATTCTAGAAGTATATTTAGTAGTACCATGATTATTAATTCCTTAATGATAGAATTAAAGCTGTATAGCGCATCGAAATGAATTCTTCAATCATACAGTACATATTCTAGAAGTCTATTTAGTAGTACCATGATTATTAATTCCGTAATGATAGAATTAAAACTGTATAGAGCATCGAAATGAATTCTCCAATTATACAGTACATATTCTAGAAGTCTATTTAGTAGTACCATGATTATTAATTCCTTAAAATCATTAAGAATTAAAACTGTATAGAGTATCGAAATGAATTCTCCAATCATACAGTACATATTCTAGAAGTATATTTAGTAGTACCATGATTATTAATTCCTTAATGATAGAATTAAAACTGTATAGAGCATCGAAATGAATTCTCCAATCATACAGTACATATTCTAGAAGTACATTTAGTAGTACTAAATTTTCAGTAACAAGTAACAACCATAGCGAATGCTTTCTTCATCATTTTCGTCATTTTAGTGCTCCTACCTGCCACATTTGAAGTCATTAAGAGATCAATAGGCATTGCACTGCATCGTATCTGTATAGCATGGACTAGAAGCCGAGGGCTCACCTTTGAATGCAGTGCTGGGGAAAATGACGTCATGATTGACGTTGGTAACTCAGGAGTTGCAAGTTGACGTTGACAATGATTATTAATTCCTTAATGATAGGATTAAAACTGTATAGAGCATCGAAATGAATTCTTCAATCATGCAGTACATATTGTAGAAGTACATTTAGTATATTCATGATTATTAATTCCTTAATAATAGGATTACAACTGCATAGAGCATCGAAATGAATTCTCCAATCATATAGTAAATATTCTAGAAGTACATTTAGTATTAATTTTGAAATTATATCCATTATTTGTAAGCATGCGAGTATCTTCATGTCTAGTAGCTTATTAATTCTTTAATGATAGAATTAAAACTGTATAAAGCATCGACATGAATTCTCCAATCATAAAGTACATATTCTACAGGTACATTTAGTATATTCATGACTATTAATTCGTTAATGATAGAATTAAAACTGTATAGAGCATCGAAATGAATTCTCCAATCATACAGTAAATATTCTAGAAGTATATTTAGTATTGATTTTGAAATCATATCTTTTATTTGTAAGCATACGAGTATGTGCATGTCTAGTAGCTTTCGTAATACTGTACGTTTAGGGTGCAATGTGTATACCAGTTTTCTATAATGAAACAATCGTGATTTCTTACTGTCTTTAGACCTTTTTGCCAGTATTTTAACACTCTAATGAGCATCAAAATGAAGTGCTCTCCAGTATCAGATGATGTGGGTGATGAATCGGCGATCAAAGTAACTTCAACATTACTATTAACATGTTAATCGACTACACGGCATTTTATTACCGGCAATCATAACATCCATTACAACAGACCGAAAGTAGAAAGCAACCTACATGTTCCGAAGTATATAGGAAAGAATGTGAACTGCCTTTCTATTCATACTGTGACATGACATATCCTAATCCCCTTATTTATTTAGAATGATATCTAGTCCCCGATTTAATACTGGGAATATCTTTGACACTTCTACGGTATACCCGTATATCGTACATCGTTTATTCACTGTCAACATGGATTTGACGTACAGAACCACATTGTTCTGCATAAAAGTATACCCGAATTCTGGTTAAATAAATAAATACGACCGACGGGTATAAATATAAGTGAATATCAAAAAAGACCGAAATTGAATCATCTTTATGAAGTTGAAAAATCAACGATCCAACAAACATTCTTTCTTTTCTTTAATCAATTATGCAACATACAACAAGAATTGATTGCGATTTGCCCATATTTACACATTTTAGCAATGCTATGCACGTATATATAGGCTATTGACCAATACTAATACTAAGCGTAGACTTACCGAACGCTGATACGTTAAATTGTCAACCTGGGAGC